AAACAAGGTGCTGGTGCCTTCCAATTATACTAGATATATAGCATGGGGATACGCAGACCTCAGTCTAAGGATGGGTGGTTATGACTCAGAAAAGGTAAGAAACTGCATTAACAACACAATTTGAGGAAGCCTGTCAATACTGCTGGACTGAGAATAGTTTCTGATTTAGACAAAATTAAGTTCAGTATATTATGAAATTTTGTATTCAGAATACCTGTAGTTGCCAGGAGCAATAAATATACTTTTGAAATTTTGAATATACCGTACTTGTTCTATTAAAAGCACATGTACAAAATACTATGAGGTTATTTCAAAGGATACAGTAAGAACACACAAATACCGTATATAGTAGTGTTTATAGTCTGCACTTTCCTTCAGAAGATTGGGAAAAAATAGCCAATTTATTTTGGTAAAAAAGTGAAAATTGATTCAAAATTTGTCTGTTGCTTCAAAATTAGAGTTTATTTCAAGAAATTTTGAAGAATATAAGAAAAAATTTGGGCAAAAAATTTGGCGGTGAAAACGTTAATCCCCAAAAGTTTACTGTGTATTGTAGAAGGGTACCATATCCGCTTTATTTTCATGAATAAAAGAAAATTGTGAAATCTTTTAACAGTGATTTTTTCTTTAATTTTTCATGACACAAAGTGTCAGTGATATTTTGCGTCACATAAAAATCCTGCGACCATGAAAATTTCCAGCGATGAAATTTACCGCTTTACAGTAGTTACAATGTTGTATTTTATTCTAGGCACATACTGTGTTTGAAGGAACTCAATGTGGTGAGATACTATGTGCAGTATGCCCAAACTCTAAGTTGCTAGTGACAGGTGGGACAAGCACTGTAAGTACCAAATTTAAACTATTGATTCATTTTTGCTGGTTACTATGATAACCACTACACATGTATAATGAAAATAGTATGAACTAGCATACCTGTTCAACTGTGTGTTCATTGTGTTATGCTGTGAATCGGAATACGTTTGTACAAAGTGCAATTTGTCATATTGTTTTTGTGTTATGTTAGTAATCAGCTGATCTTAGTTATAGTACTTTCTTATTTCACACACTCAGGAAACACTGAGTACAGGCACGCAGTTGGTGCAAAAACAACAAATAATGCACCACTCTTAGCATGTATGTTTGACAAGCATTACCATGTACGAGACATGCTCTTGTTTCCTTGCTTGTGTTTATACTTTTGGTTTCTTTGTGATTGCCTCTGCTTCAGGATCTGGTATTTCTTTCACCTAGCTTAAATATAAATAAAGCTCACATATGTGTCCAGATCAGCGTTAAGGATAATGTTCATTCCAAGAATGGAACTAAATTCAGCAGCATTTTTAGCATTCGAAATTAATAATCTCGTACAACAATAATTATTTTGTTGATAATAGGTTGTCCATGTATGGTGTCTAATGCTAAATAAAGAAAAGTCAAGACAGCTGTCTTTGAAACAGGTTAGTCTGCTGTTGTCAAATTGTTCGTCATGTATGTTAGTGTTCAAATTTCCAATAGTCTTTGTGGTAATTACAAGTTTTACGTTTCGTACCGTACACATGTCACTGTTTTCAATGTCACTGCCATTCTGTTTCGGTCACCAAAACATCAATATTGCCAGCTAAGTAGCTGACTGAAACTTTAGATAAAACTTTTTTTACAAAGGCTAAATGCAGACAAAAACACACTACAGCGACTGTGTCCTGACATGTGAGACTGTGTCAGTACACACATTTGTTTAAATTGCTTGTATAAATTTGCTTTTGAATATAACCTTATAAACATGGATGTTATTGTTAATGAATTTTTTATAAACTTTTTTTCATAGGCGTTGTATGGTCATGACAAAGCAGTGACGTGCCTGGCTGCATCATCAGCGTATAGCATTATAGTCAGTGGGTCGCGGGATAAAACGTGTATGGTATGGGACCTCAATAAGCTGATATTTGTACGTCAACTGCGAGATCATGCCGCTCCAGTGGCTGCTCTAGCCATCAATAATGTCACAGTAAGTAACTATGTAACCATGCTGGATATTCACATGATATTTTTATCATAAACTTGTCACTTGATATGGAGTGTGTAAAAAAAGTATAAAGTATAAAATCTCTCGTCTTATTCACATTCTCTGCACACCCATACTTTGTTTTGTTTTTATTTTTGTTTCAAAGTATAACTGTATAAGAAAATACGAAAACAATACATGCACAAAGTACAAAACAAAAGCACACACTCAAAAAAAAAAGAAGAAAAACAATTTTCCCTTTCTTTTAAGAAAATCCATCAGGAAAAAGAGCTTTTTCAAGTGAAATCGTGTCTTTTAACTTTCTTAAATTTAAGTAATCACAAATGGAAGGTATCAGCTCAAATATAGAAGATACTTCCCTCGCAAAATTAAATGGTTAAAAAAAAAATTGTTTTATTTACAACCCATTCTACATGTCAAAGTATAATAGAGTTGTTTATACATTGTTTTGTAGAAGATTTTGTTCACTGACTTGATTTTAGCAAATTTTAATTCAAGATCTGAATTATTTTGACCAATCAGTGGTCATTGTTGATCTGTAATATCCAACTACTTGACCATGGTCATTATTTCCTATACCAAGTCAACACTTCTACGTTTTCTAGAAGTTTCTAAAAATATTGAATCAGATGTGTTTTGAGTATAGCACAGTGAATATGTTGAGTTTATACCGGTAGTGTCATTGGTAGTTACGTATTCTAATATTGTTTATTTCAGGGGGACATTGTGACCTGTGCTGGTACATTTCTTTATGTATGGGGTATTAATGGTGACTTAATCGCTAGCGTGAATACGTCAACTGGCCGAGATCAACAGATATTATGCTGTGTTGTCTCTGAGGTCAGTACATATCATACATTTCAATATTTCACCAGAGAAAACAAATTTTGTGATTCAAGGATAATTTTGAAAATTTAGCAGCAATGAAACGTTTCTTTAGACGTTTTTTTCAGTGACTGACTTGCAGCCATCTCACATTCTGTCAGCGTGGTCTTTTCTTCTTAAGAGTTTTAGTTTACATTTGAATCTGTGAATGCCCCTGAACGTTGAATTGGATTTGTTATTTATCGTACCTAACATAAATTGTGAACCTCTTTTTGTGACTACATTTTGACAACATTTGATTTGCATCGTTTGACTATGTACCAATTTGCAGATGGTTTTAATATTCATATCAATAATAATCCTTCTCAGTGGTGTATGATGAAACTTTCGCTTGAAAACACGTTAATCAAATGCATTTTTAATCAATAACGTCACTGAATGTATATCGCCAAAAAATTAACACTGTCAAATAGCGTAAACAGAAACGAGCGAGATATCATCACTTACAAAGTACATGAAATGCATATTTTACACTATATGTGACTACTGTAAAATGACTAATTTTCACTGTGTTTAAATTTCACTGATTTACCATTTCAGGCATACTCAGTGGGTTTTAAATTCACGGTTTCGTAATTTAGATAATGTGTTCTATGCTAAATTTTACATATTCACTGGGTTTTAATTTAATAGCGCATTTTCCAGTCAGCGAAATAAGCAAAATTAAAACCCAGTGAATAATTAATCTTTTTACAGTAG